ACATGCTTGGTGTGCAGGGTAAGGGCTCACGTGTTAATTGAGTCAGTTGCATGATTTTTGGTACCCCCCCCCCCCCTTCCCTTTTCCCACGGCTACAAACAACACTACAAACCTCGAAAGGTGGGGAGGTAGCAGGTATCCCGTGAAATTAGTCGAGGTGCACAAAAGTTGTCCCTCCCACATGTTTGGTGTCACATGTTAATTTTGTCAGTTGCATGCTTTTTGGTTAGTCCCCACTTCCCACGGCTACAAACAACACCACAAACCTCGAAAGGTGGGAGGTGATAGGTATTCCATGAAATTAGTCGAGGTGTGCGCAAGCCCACCCACATGCTTGGTGTGCAAGGTAAGGCTCACGTGTTAATTGTGCTAGTTGCATGCTTTTTGGTACAGTCCCCCACTTCCCACGTCTACAAACAACACCACAAACCCCAAAATGTGGGAGGTGGTAGGTATCCAATGGAATTAGTCGAGGTGCGTCCAAGTTTGCCCGGCCACAACTTGGTGTGCAGGGTAAGGGCCCACATGTTAATTGTGTTAGTTGCATGCCTTTTGGTGCCCCCCCCACCCCCCCACCCCCCCCACCCCCCCACCCCCCACTTCCCACAACTACAAACAACACCCCAACCCTTGAAAGTGGGAAGTGACAGGTATTCCGTGGAATTAGTTGAGCGCCTGGCCCGCCATGGTTGTAGGAGAAGGGCTCATGTCTTAGTTGTGTCAGTTGCATGCTTCTTGGTACAACCCCCACTTCCCACGACTACGAACAACACAACAAACCTCGAAAGGTGGGAGGTGCCAGGTATTACGTGAATTTAGTTGAGATGCGCAAAAGCTAGCCCGCTCATATGTTTGGTGTGTGGGGTAAGAGCTCACGTGTTAATTGTGCCAGTTGCATGCTTTTTGGTTCAAGCCCCACTTCCCACGGCTACAAACAACACCACAAACTTTGGAAATGTGGGAGGTGCTGGGTATCCCGTGAAATTAGTTGAGGTGTGCGCAAGCTAACCCACCCACATGCTTTGTGTGCAAGGTAAGGGCCCACGTGTTAATTGTGTCAGTTGCATGCATTTTGGTGCAGGGCCCCACTTCCTGCGGCTACAAACAACACCACAAACCTCGAAAGGTGGGAGGTGACAGGTATTCCGTGGAATTTGTCGATGTCGATGTATGCGCAAGTTGGTCTGCCCAACTTGGTGTGTAGGGTAAGGGCCCACATGTTAATTGTATCAGTTGCATGCTTTTTGATGCAGCCCCCACTTCCCACAGCTACAAACAACACCCCAAACCTTGAAAGGTGGAGGTGATAGATATCCCGTGAAATTAGTTGAAGTGCTTGAAAGCTGATCCGTCCATAGTGTGTAGGGTAAGGGCTCACGTGTTAATTGTCTCAGTTGCATGCTTTTGGGTACAGCCCCCCACTTCCCATGGCTACAAACAACCCCACAATCCTTGAAATGTATTAAGCATCATATTCACGTGCAACAACAGCATAAGAATCACTCCCAAATACCACTGAAAAGGATGAAACACTTGAGCACAGTCCTTTTTCTTCACGTATTTCTGTTTACAATGACAGAAGTACTTAGGTTTTCTGTGTTTTGTCCCCACTCAAATTAATGTCCAACAACTTTTAGGATCGTTCGGTTTGAAAACAAGTTAGGTTAGGAATTAGGATTACTTATGGTGGGATAGATTATGATAGGAATAATTATGTTGAGATTATATTTTTATTGATGATTGTTTGATTTGTCATATTTAAATAATGTGCATGACATTTCTAAGAATAAGTTGTTTGTTTACAAAATATTCTTTATTTTATTTAGTTTTTTATACTTTCTTTGCAGCTTTTATTCACTCCTAAAAATATTTAGCTTAAATATTTTTGTGTGTGCATTCTCATAATCATGCCGCGTTTTTTATAATCCATCTTATTTAGATTAAAAACAAAACTTTCATCTTAAGTTTGTTAAAGTTATTTTTTTTAATTGTTGATGTCATTTCATTTTAGCACATATATCTCATATATTGTTAAAATAATAAAGTATCTCTTTAATTGATGTATGAAATACAAATTTTCAAGTGATTAAACTATTTAATTAAAAATATGTAATTTAATAGTGGAGAGAACATTTTACAAGAAATTAAAATATAAAATAAACACAAGGATTAGTCAAATAAATTCATAAATAAAAAATATATTTATATAGTGTAATTTTGTAATGAAAATATATATAATTGTAAAAATAACGAGTAGTGAAAATTATAAATGTTATTAAAATTTATTTAAATATACATGCATGTAAAAAAAAAGAGGTATAAAAGAGGGTTTAAGGGGTAGTTTTGTTATTTTAAATTCTATCCAGGGTAAGTTATCTCGGGATTAATATTCCACTCATAAGTAGGAATAATTTATCTCAATCATAATTATTAATCATGAAATAAATTATCCCATACTTTGTAACCGAACAAAGAATTGAGGGGTCGTTTGATGTGATGGATAAGGAAAAATAATTTGGGGATAAGTATTAAGTACCCCTCAATATTTTATTTGGTAACAAGGTGTGCGATAACTTATTCAAGGATGAATAATTATGATTGAGATAAGTTATCCTTGTGGGTGGAATACAAATCTCGAGATAAAAATTTAAAATAACAAAAGTACGCTCTTAAACCCTCTTTTATACATCACTTTTACATACATGTATATTCATATAATTTCTAGTACCATTTATAATAAATTCACAATCTTCACTACTCGTTATTTTTATGATTATATATTTTTTTCATTAAAAAATTATACTATATAAATATAATTTTTATTTATGAATATATTACACGTTGAGTTTATTTGACTTATCCTTATGTTTATTTATATTTTGATTTCTCTTAAAATATTCACTCCACTATTGAATTACATATTTTTAATCAAGTAATCTATTAGTCACTTGAAAAATTGTATTTTATATATCAATTAAAATAAAGATAACATTAATATTTCACAATATATGAGTGATATATGCTTAAATGTAGTGACATCAACAGTAAAATTTCTTTTACTTTAATATACTTAAGATGAAAGTTTTAATTTTAAGCTAAATGAGATGGATGTTTTATACTGTGAGAAATGTTTGATTGATGATATTTTAAGACAAAATTTACTTATTATTTATTATACTACGGCAAACGTTTGATTGATGATTTTTTTAGACAAAATTTACTTATTATTTATTAATTTAAAATTCGCTGAATATTTTTGAATCCTTCTCCAAAAGACACCATGCTTGTTCTGAATAGGTGGGTTCGCACCTATTCAACACATATCGTTGATTATAGCTAGATTGAGAGGATTATCTTAGTTTTCAATCAACATTATTTCTTTAACAGGTATATTCATTTTATCTTGGGAAGAAATATCTGAAATAAATTAAATGAATTAATGCTACAAGAAAAGTTGACAAAAAATGTTTATGGCTAACATAATTAAGCAGTTTAGATAATATGTTTTTTGTCAGTTAGTTCTACTCGGTCTGTTTTAATACATGCAAAATGCACTAGCACAAGAAGTCCGAATTACATCGTTCCCAAATCAAGATAAATTATATTTAATCTTATGATGTAATCATATCAATGACTTGTCCAATTTCCATCTTAGATAGTAAACAAATAACTTTACACTTATAAGAACCGATGATTTAATCCTAACAGTATATGTAAAAAACTCTATACACTAAATCATCTACTACACAAGTTAAGGATACATAAACGAGTATATGATATACTAAATCTTTTATTAAAATTGAATAAACAATTGTTCTATAATAAATATTATATCTAAACACATGGTTAATAATATAAATATTATGGTTAATAGTATATATCCCAACAATCTTCCACTTAGACTTTTAACCAAGGGCGGAGCCAGCATGTCTTTAGGGGGTTCATCCGAACCCCTTTCGGCGGAAAATATTACTATATATACATGGTTAAAATTATTTTTTAGATGTATATAATAGATGTCGAACCCCCTTAGACTAGTTTGTATGTTTACTCCTTCGAATTTTGAACCCCTTTATTGAAAATTCTGGCTCCGCCACTGCTTTTAACCATCACAATTGTTATAATATACGATATCTAAATGCATGCTTAATAATATATACCTTAACAATCTTTCATTTAGATGTGTAATCTTGAAAATTGTTAAAATACCATGTTTAAACACATGATGAATGATTGATCCTTCAAGGTGGAAAATCATAATTTCTCAATGATATCGTCACAATATATCATATAGTAAAATGGAACGTTTATGCATTATGCCTTTTTTGTAATTTTTTTTTATAGAAAAAGGATAAATGTAAATCCTGAATTCTGAGCCTTTATATAGAACAAATAGATTATAAAGAGAGCAGAAAATGGAAGAAAAACCCAACAAAGGTCATATTTTAGTCCTCCCGATCCCACTACAAGGCCATATAAACGCAATGGTTCAATTTTCCAAAAGATTGACATAAAAAACAATCTGCCAACAACAAAATCAAACTAAACATTTAAATATTCTCTTTTCTTGTAGAGACAACGACTGACGAATAAAAAACAATTGGTCTGATTTTGTGCGTTGCTGAGGTATGATGTATGTGTCCACTTGTTAAACTTTATACAACTTTAAGTGCCAGCTAAAATCAAGTTAAAGAACACTTCTTCGTATCATACCTTTTGTAAGTTAGAAAAAAAAGAAGATAAAGGTCAATCTTGAATATGTGGGCGCCCACATATAAGTCCTTTATATAGAACAAGATAGATATATAGATAGCAGAAACTTTAGGTGAGGTAAGAGTATAGAGCAGAAAATGGAAGAAAAAAACAACAAATCTCATATTTTAATTCTCCCAATCCCAGGACAAGGCCACATAAACCCAATGGTTCAATTTTCCAAAAGATTGGCATCAAAAGGAGTTAATAAAGTGACATTAGTTACCATTTACTCTATTAGCAAAAACATGCCAAAGGAGTCTGGTTTAATAAATATTGAGTCCATTCCTCATGATGATGAGTCTCCACCACAAAATATTGACAGAATGCTTGAATGGTTTCATCTTTTGGTATCCAAAAATTTGACAAAAATTGTTGAGAAATTATCTGATTCAGAGTACCCTGTGAAAGTTCTTGTTTTCGATTCGATGGCAACTTGGGCAATTGATCTTGCACATCAATTAGGACTAAAAGGGGCTGCTTTTTTCACACAATCTTGTTCTCTTAGTGCCATATACTATCATATGGATCCAGACAACCAGAATTTCTTTTGATGGCTCTGATGTCTCTTTGCCTTCACTTCCATTGCTGGCAAAGGAAGATTTGCCTTCTTTCATCTATGATACTGATTTGTATCCAGCTCTTAGAGGACTTATCTTTAGTCAGAACATCAATTTCAAGAAAGCAGATTGGCTTTTCTTCAACACATTTAATGCATTGGAAAAGGAGGTACTACTCTCTTATCTTAATGTTATATTTTGGGTCCACTCCATTCATGTACTTGTGTTAGTAGAGCTCAAATCTCATAGTTGGGGTTTGACAAGGGTAGAATCTATGCAGACTTTATCATGTCCGAACATCTTAATCTGACTTCCCTCGTCTAGTCCACCACAAAAGTCAATCTTATCACTTCTAGTATGCCTGCATATCTACCTCAACATTCTCATTTTCGCAACCCTCATCTTCTGAACATGAGAGTTCGCAACTGGTAAATACTCCGCTCCATACAACATAGAAATAGTCAAAAGCAGAGGAGTAAACCTAGACCTATTTTCTTTTTTTGATATGTGAAATTCATCAGTTCATATTGAAGCCCTATTAAAGTCAAGGACAAATACCACACAATTTTGTTTGGTTCTAATATTTATAAAATATACTCAAGTGGTTTCATTTCATTTTTAGAGGAAAATAAAACCATGAACACCTCTAGGCATGCACCAATAATTTGATGTTGAATTTGTACAGGTAGTCGACTGGATAAGGCCTCGATACCCAATCAAAACTATCGGACCAACTATTCCATCAATGTATCTTGACAAGAGACTAAAGGAAGACAAAGAATATGGTTTGAGTTTGTTCAAGCCTAACAGTGAAACTTGTATGAAGTGGCTAGATTCAAGGGAAATCGGCTCTGTTGTTTATGTATCATTTGGAAGTTTTGCCAGTCTTGACGAACAACAAATGGAGGAACTAGCTTTGGGATTGATGACGAGCAACTGCTACTTCTTGTGGGTTGTTAGAGCTACCGAAAAGAACAAACTCCCTGAGGAATTCATGTCCAAGTCATCGGAAAAAGGACTAATTGTGAATTGGTGCCCTCAGCTCGATGTATTGTCTCATCGAGCAGTTGGATGTTTCTTTACTCACTGTGGATGGAATTCGACACTGGAAGCATTGAGTTTGGGAGTGCCAATGGTGACCATGCCCCAATGGTCGGATCAACCAACTAACGCGAAATTTATTAGTGATGTATGGCAAACAGGAGTTCGCGTTAAGGTTGGAGACAGTGGTGTAGTTAATAGAGATGAAATCGCGTGTTCCATAAGGGAAGTCATGAAGGAAGAGAAAGGTGCAATGCTGAAAGAGAATGCAATTAAATGGAAAAAATTGGCTAAAGAAGCAGTAAATGAAGGAGGAAGTTCTGATAAGAATATTGAAGAATTTGTTTCAAACTTGCCATGAACATTTGAGTGCTGCATAAATTAGTTCTATTTGGTCTGTTTATGAAAAAGACCTACATTACAGTGATTTATACTATTTGGTGAAGTCATTTTATATCTTGCTAATCATCTACTACCACAAAGGTCTCAATAAAATTATGAACAACAAAATCAAACTAAACATTTAAATCTTCTCTTTTCTTATAGAGACAACGACTGGCGAATAAAGAGCAATTGGTCTGCATTTGGTGTGTTGTTGATGTATGATGTGTGTCTACTTGTTAAATTTTATACAACTTTAGTTGCCAGTTAAAATCAAGTTAAAAGAACACTTTTTATGTGTCATATCTTTTGTAAGTTGAAAAAAGAAAAATGTAAATCATGAACATGTGGACGCCCATTATCTATATAACCAGTTTCTGGATATGTGCATTGAACGTGTGTTCCATGAGAATTTTCATAAATTTGTTAGAATAATTAAATTTTTATGAAAATATGTATTGAGTAATTTTAATTATTAATACTCCCTTTGTTCCATTTTATGTGGCACCATTTCCTTTTTGGTCAGTCCCAAAAAGAATGTCACATTTTCTTATATGGTAAGTATTTAAAGGTATAATTTCTCTTTTACCCTTGTTGGTCCACTTAATCTTAAAATAATACTCCAATACATTTATGAGGAGAGAGAAAAGTGAGTTTACTTTTTAAAGGGCAATTTGGTAAACATTTTAAAGTTTTCATTTATTTCTTAAACTCCGTGCCCTGTCAAATGTTGCCACATTAAATGGGACGGAGGGAGTATATCTTTAAAATATGGTAAAAAGTACCAAAATAAGGAGCGTATTTTAATGTTTAAAATCAAGTTCTTTTAAGCAACCAACTGTTAGTTTTGAATTTTGGTTAGTAGTTAGCAAACTTTCAATAAAACCACAAATGATTAATCAATCAGAAATTCATAGAAAATTATATTTAAAAAGTCTAATAGATAGAAAACACAAAAAAATACAGTGTACTCATCTTTTTTGAAACTTTAATCATACAATATAGATGTAAACAAAAATATAGAAATTGTACACAATTTTTCAATTTTTTGTCAACTCCTTCTATCATAGCCAATCAAAATTCAAGATCCTTCTTTGTCGAGTCAAACTAAAGAATGATCAATAGAACAAAGGCACAAAAATGATATAAATGTTTCATTACTTTAACTATAAAATGAAAAGGATACCTAAGGATCTCATGAAACAAAGAAGATGATTTATATAAATAAAATTGGAGGAACACCAAAAGTTATCTTAAAATCTTAAATTAAATATTTAGAGGTTGTGAATATGAGAAATATTATAGTTATAGATATAGATATATATTAATGGTTGCAATTGAATAGGTAATTAGATATGAGATATAAATGTGGATATTTAAAGCAAATAAAAGAAAAAAATAATAAATAAATGAAAGGGTATAAGTTTCATAAAACCAAAACTAAAAAAATAACAAATATATAATATAAGACGTAAAAAAAAATTGAAAAAATATTCAAATGTGTTAATTAAGCTTAAGAAACATTTCAGGAAGAAAATAAAAATACGTATGCAACAACCACCATAAATGTATATGTAACTACCATTGGGTATGCAATAATTGAGAAATATGGAGCCCAGAAATGTGGTTATTAAAATTTAGTAGGTTGTAGTTATTAGAAAATGTTCTATTAATGAAGCAAAGAAATCAGGGGGTTTAGGTTATTAGAATTTGGGGGTTGTAGTTATTTGACTTATTTCTAAGTATTAATGCAACCAAGAAATGAGGGGTTTTGGTTATTGAAATTTAGGGCTTGTGTATATTACAAAGTTAATCTAAATTTGTAATTCATTTAATGCATTAAGATGAATGTATGCTACTTCATGAAAACATTAATGTCGGGAATGGGCTGGTGGTCTCTTTATATGGACTTGGGCAATCCTCCCCTCAAGAGCTAGCTTTTGGGGTTGAGTTAGGTCCAAGTGTCATATTTTTACAACTTTGACAGACATCTTACTCTTTCATTATATTTTTGTTATGTTCTAGACACAGACATTTATACTTGTATTCCTTTTGAATCTAAGGTATTACTTAAAGGCTTGTACAAGTGACACCAGTTTTTGGAGGTATTTTGAGTAATGTTATTATTTCTGTAGATTTATATTATGCTAGTCTGTTTTACTTTCACATTTAATCTTGTTTCTTTGAGTTTAGACTGATCTGTCTTGGTATGATAAAACAAGTGTCATCACACCCGATTTTTGAATTGTAACATCTATAAGTCTCGACTTATTCAAACTCACATTGGAAATCCTTCTTTTGGGGGAGGGGGGATAACGCAACCACCTCTATATAGTTCAGGAAAGCCACTATGCGTGAAAATATATATTTTTCTAATCATTAAACTAATAGATTTATGGATCCTAAGCTAATATTGTCTATTTGTCTAAAGATCATGGAAGTAATCTTATCATTGACAATTATGTATCTCACATCTCCTAACACATGCTCAATAATTAATAATTGACTATTGAACAAAAAACTAGACCAATTTAAGACTATATATATTCTTGCCCAGCCCTTTATATAGATAGCAGTAACTTTAAGTCAGGTAAGAGTATAGTGCAGAAAATGGAAGAAAAATCCAACAAATCTCATATTTTAGTTCTCCCAATCCCAGTACAAGGCCACATAAATCCAATGGTTCAATTTTCCAAAAGATTGGCATCAAAAGGAGTTAATAAAGTGACATTAGTCACCATTTACTCTATTAGCAAGAACATGCCAAAGGAGTCTGGTTTAATCAATATTGAGTCCATTCCTCATGATGATGAGTCTCCACCACAAAATATTGACCCAATGCTTGAATGGTTTCATCTTTTGGTATCCAAAAATTTGACAAAAATTGTTGAGAAATTATCTGATTCAGAGTACCCTGTGAAAGTTCTTGTTTTCGATTCGATGGCAACTTGGGCAATTGATCTTGCACATCAATTAGGACTAAAAGGGGCTGCTTTTTTCACACAATCTTGTTCTCTTAGTGCCATTTACTATCATATGGATTTAGAGACTACCAAAGTTTCTTTGGATGGCTCTGATGTATCTTTGCCTTCACTTCCATTGCTGGCAAAGGAAGATTTGCCTTCTCTCATCTATGATACTGATTTGTATCCAACTCTTAGAGGACTTATCTTCAGTCAGAACATCAATTTCAAGAAAGCAGATTGGCTTTTCTTCAACACATTTAATGCATTGGAAAAGGAGGTAACTATTCTCTTATCTTAATGTAATCCTTTGGGTCCACTCCATTCAATATACTTGTGTTAGTAGAGCTCAAATCTCATAGATGAGGTTTGAGAAGGGTAGAATCTTGATTAAAGTGTATGAGGCCAAGCACATGGAAATTCAATTTTGATTTGGGTGGTGGTGAGATTCGATCTCAGGATTTTTGTCTGCTCTGATACCATGTTAAAACATGTGATCATCTCATCTAAAAACTTAAGCTGTTAGAGAGAACACACTTTTATTATTTAGTTATATACTTATATTCTCAACAAATCTACGCAGATATTATCATGTACGAACCATCTTAGTTTGACTTTCCTCATCTTATCTACCACGGAGGCTACACCTACCTTGTCATGTATATCTTCATTCTTAATCTTAGTGAGAGTTCACAATCGGTCAATACTATGCTCCATACAACATAGAATAGTCCAAAGTAGAGGAGTAGATCTAGATCTATTTTCTTTTTTACCATGTGACTATACCTAATTTGTGGATCGGACTCCTCTCCATTTCCCCAAGTTCTTGCTTGAATGTGAGACACATGGCATAGGTAAAAATTAACGATTAAGATTTAATTGAATTAAAATAAAATTCTAATTATAATTTAGATAATTAATAATTCATAATAAAAATGACAATACCACAATCATAACAATATATTATCTTGTCCATAAATATATTATTAAAAAAAATCCCTTTTTCTATTTTTTTCTTTCTAGTATATATCTTCTCTTTTTGTCCATAAATATATTACTTATAAAATAATCTCTTTTTCTAATTTTTTTTTTCCATGCAATTATTTTTGCTATTAATTATATGTTAACTGGTTTTAAGAGAAAATTCAAAGTTGCTATCTAACACTTACTCAATTTTTTTTTTAAAAAAACGGAAGATAAATACTCGTAGGAAAAAAAATAGAAAAGAGAAAAGTTTTTATAATATATTTATGGACAAGATATTATATTGTTATGACTTATGATTATGTTATTATTATTTTTCTTATGAAATATTAATTATATAAATCATAATTAGAATCTTATTTTAATCAATTAAATCTTAGCCATTTATTTTTAGCTATGTCACGTGTCTCACATCTAAGCAAGAACTTGGGAAAAATGGAGAGAAGGGAAATGAAGAGGTGCCGGATCCCTAATTTGTTTGGTTCTAATATTTTAAAAAAATAGACTTAAGTGGTTTCATTTCTTTCTAGAGGAAAATCGATCTAAATCAAACCATGAATTTGTACAGGTAGTCGATTGGATAAGGCCTCGATACCCAATCAAAACTATCGGACCAACTATTCCATCGATGTATCTTGACAAGAGACTAAAGGATGACAAAGAATATGGTTTGAGTCTCTTCAAGCCTAATAGTGAAACTTGTATGAAGTGGCTAGATTCAAAGGAAATTGACTCTGTTGTGTATGTATCATTTGGAAGTTTAGCCAGTCTTGACGAACAACAAATGGAGGAGCTAGCTTTGGGATTGATAATGAGCAAATGTTACTTCTTGTGGGTTGTTAGAGCTACAGAAGAGAATAAACTCCCTGAGGAATTCATGTCCAAGTTATCGGAGAAAGGACTAATGGTGAATTGGTGCCCTCAGCTCGATGTATTGGCTCATCGAGCAATTGGATGTTTCTTTACTCATTCTGGATGGAATTCGACTCTGGAAGCATTGAGTTTGGGAGTGCCAATGGTGACTATGCCTCAA